AACTAAAATCTTTAATATCTTGGCTAAAAAGGTGCAAAATCTTAATTAGCTCTGTCTCCTAAAGAAGAGGATATAGATGCTTCAAAAACATAATTTTTCAATAGACCTATTTATTGATGAACCCTACAACCTTCATATTCAGTCAAATTTTTCTTAGAATTCTTCCAATTCTTCCATTTGTCATGTAAATTCATGATTCAGCATGGTTGAATGAGTTTTTTATTTATAAAGAATTTATTTGTGAATCTTAATGCTAAATATGGCACGGAAATGACGATTAAAATATTTTTATGGATCCTTGAAAGAAGAGAGAATTTTTTTGGGAATTAATGCTGATTTGTCATTTTGATTTGAGTTCATTGATTTAAAATTTGGCAGAATATGCTGAATTACAAATCTAGATTCACTTAAAAATTCAAAATTCTATTCCGATTCAAATTGTTCCCACAAAACTCCATCGCTCTCTCAAAATCAGTATTAAACTCAATCCAATAACAATCTAGAAATAGAAACTCAATATGATTTCCACAACCATATACAATTAACTATAGTAGTACTATCAATGTCATGCGGTTACCCACGAATGTTTCGACAAGTCTAAAACCACAAAATCTTATCAAAAATTATCTTTTTCTGAGAATTTAAGTGACTTAACCTAAATACGCACGCAATATGTAGAAAATATTATTTTTTATAATAAATTGTAAAGCGGTTAAAATTCTTTTTAAATACTTTCACACACTCGATAATTATTCACACATTGTAAGCCTTTAAAAAAAGATAAAAATCGATATTAATGCAAATTATTTTGTATTCTAATTCTTAAGTCTGATTGAAGTCAGTTTGAAATATTTGAATAATGAGTCACATTGAATTAATTTCATAATAAGTAATGTGAACTTTTAAGAGTCTAATTGTAATGAAGTTAATAATTGAATGAATGCTTGTCGATAATTATCATAATTGAGGAACAACGTAAAATGTTGTTTGTTATCTTTAAATTGAAATGATTTGAATTATTATCTTTCTTACTTGATTAAGTCATACTAGTGGGAATGTGTGTTTAAATATTGTCAATGAAATGTTTTTATCTATGTCTTAATTAATAGGTTGTAGATGATAGGATAAAAGTAAAGTTCATAGAGTGAGATCCAGTGAATGAAGTTGTAGAATAATTTATATGATTCAAAAGATGGGCAACTTCAAAATCTTCAAAAACCGTAACTTTAAATAGCTTAGTTCAATTTATTTCTCACAATCTAGTTGAGAATCAGCCACAAAAACCGCAATAAGAACGTTCATCAATATTCATGGTTTCATGAATTCTATCGATTACTACTTAATCATTTGTTGTCTCATCTGAATAAAAACAGGTTCCTTTATAAAATACTCAATTTCAATGAGTCATTAAAATTAATTTCCAAAGAATAAATTCACAAAACTTACTTCATTATTTATCACATTTTACGTAAGACTTCTCAGACAAGTCATCTATTGACGCTCATTTAATGACATATTTCATCATTTTCTTAATGCTAGAAATTTTTTTTCTAAAACTAATTTAATGCTAGAGAAAACCAAAAAAGGTTAAAGATCAGATTAATTTAAGCTTTCTGAGGAAATGTAGCACAAGCGGTATTGAAAAATGACTGAAAATATTTCATCAAAAAATTGCGGAACCCATAAAATTGCAAACAACATCGATAAGTATCATATCAATTATGTCTTATCTCTACCTTCACAACTTCACATAACATTGTCAAGTTTGTCATGATTTCGAGGCTTGAGCACTTGAATTTCTATACTTTGAGGGCTTAGATGAAGAGAAGAATTGGAAAAGACTTCTCTTGACCATTCAAAACTTTAGTAAAGATTATTGAATAGTAATTAGACCATGATTAAAGACAAACCAGTAAGATAACCCATAACTAAACTGAAAGTACTCAAACTCTTCAGCTCTGCTTACTTTTTTACAAAGATCTATCCAAAAGAAACTTAAAGATTAATCATTATTCAAATCTAACCATAACTGATTAGTTAATCGCTCTTTTCATTATCCGAAAAAAAAACCGAAAATTCATCGCCATAAAAAAATTTGGGTCAGCTAAACTTCAACAAAAGCCAGTCAGCAAATAGAGCAAAATTATATTATTTTTTTTTTATCAATCATTCAAAAAAAGAGTTTTGAATTCAATGGTAAATAATTAGAATTTGAAATTCCGCACCTAGATTTCTCGAGTCGAAAAAAATTATCATTTTTCATGAGAATTTCGAGGCTATGAAGGCATGCGATGAAGAATCAATTTCTACTTTTTCTTCTATCGAAATCACAATTAAATGTGCAACTAAAGACTGATTTTCTCTTGATTTTCTAAAATAAACATTCATTAAATACCTTCATTTACACACGGCTGTAGCAGCAAAGCTAGAAAACTAGTGCATAAAAAATTGCACTCATCTAATTCCAATTTTGCTGCATCAAACACAGACGAAATCTATCACAAGTTGGTATCGTGGCAAACCGTAATGCACGCGAAGAGGAGGAATGAAAAAAAAATTGATGTTTCGATTTAATGTGCTATTAATTAAATTAATTTTCCATTTTGATGTTTAGCTCGTGTTCTTCATACATAAGCGATTCTTACTCATTTGGACGATTGTAGTGTTATGATCACTGTTTTAGTAACTGGTGCACAAAAAATTGGCAGATAAATCTTAATTTTTCTTTCATCTGCTAACTCTTTGCGGTATGCAAGTTGGTTGATGCAAGTTAGGGAAACATTGATGAGTGATGCATAAAGCGCATTTGTTCTAAATCTGGTCATTATGCTTGTTTGAGTTTTGTAAGTCGTTGGTTAAAGTTAAAAAGGCACTAATTGATGGTTCCTTAGGCGCATTTATTCTGAATTAGTGCAATTATTAGATAATCTGGATACTAGTCCAACAAAAGCCATGAATTGATTTATAGCTGTCTCTATCACTAGCGACTGCTTGGAAATTTCAAGTTTCAAGTAATCAACTGTTAAGTCTACAAAAACTCAGGATACAAAATACATTACAGTCTATTTTGTACCAATGCAGCTACTTCTTCATCTCCATAGCCCATTCTGTACTGCTCCATATCAGAATCACTTCCAATAAATTACAAAAACCCAAAGAAAAAAAAAATTTTCTCTCGGGAAGCATAAATATTCCTCCATCAAAGGCAATGCTGCCACTCGACAAAGAAGTCTAACTATATACGAGACATACTTTTTAGAGTCATGATTTCCGTTGCCATGCGGTCTCAACATCACTGTGGTCATCAATGAAAGTTGTTTTTTTTTCTCAATATTTAAACAAAAAAAGACTTCTCTTTCTTTCCAACTTCTCCATTAATAGCTGTCATTCCATCATTTCTAAAAAGAAATGAGTAAAAAAAAGTAAGCAAGAAGAAGAAAACTTGCTGTACTTAACATAGCGTAGAAATTTCATGACGGCGAAGGAAATTGGCTTTTTTTTAAATAGAAATTTATGCTTGTACAGCAAATAGAGCAAGGCATCTGAACAAGTCCTAAACTTATTGGAATATCCACGCGACAAGACTTTCAAAATGCCTCATTTTGGTCGTTGCCTATGGAGATTTATTGAATTAGTAGCAATTATGACCCGATTTGGGATAGTGTCACTAATGGACACACAAGTTACGCCTGTCTGCGTATCTAAAATAATTTTTCATAGCTGCTTGTAGAAATAAAATTTCTTTCTAGAGATCTTGTCTGAATCTTGGACACAAAAGAAAGTCAAACAGCATTCGATGACGAGCGTAGAAAATCTACGCATATATGTGGTAATTTATTATGCAAACATTCAATTACAAGTCTCTGTCAGTCTATAAGGAGATGTAGATATGGGTAAGGTGAATAGAAATTGAGAGAAATGCTGTTGTAGTGTCGGGGCAGAGTTGAATCTTGGAGTCAATCCTCAACTTCATTCTCAGATTTAGCTTTATGTAAACTAGTCTGTTAAAGCATTAGTTATCGAATGAATAGGACTAGACCGAATGTCTTTTGTACTCAGTAAAGTAGTAGGTTCGATCCTTATCATTTACTGATCTTGCCAATTGATTAAAGAATCAACTGTTGATCAAACATGGAACGAGCCATTCGGGGACTCAGATTATTTTAAGAAAACTTACTATTAGTGTCTAAAAAGCCCTCATGCTTGAATTTCTGACCCCCATGTTCCATTAAAATCAATCGATCGCCATGCAACTTATCCATTACTCGGTCACAGTTACTATAGGTCAATGAGTCAATTCTACTTCCATATATAAGCACTTAATAATCACAATAAGGAAAATATCTCATAAAAAATCCATCACGAAATCTGCTCAACTTCATAAAACGTACAACGATATGAGTCAAGCTGCATAAGCTTACAAACTTACATGACAAAATGCGAACAGAATTAGAAAAGGGCGCGTTAGCTGTAACCCTGAACCAACGCAAGCTCGCGATAATTACTGCACACAACATTTATTTTATTTAAATTGCCGCCATGGAATAAAAACTAACTCATCGAAGCTTGTTAGTCAATAATAATAATAATATGACAATGTTACATAGTCATTCAGTCACATTCCAGAACTGAATGTTATCTGCAATCGTGTTTTGAATTTAAAAATTCTTTTATTACATATTTGTTGTAAATTTGCTGTTTTCGACCATGAAGTGATACCCACAATCAAGCGTATAGGCAATGTGACACAAATTAACGAGTTGATTTCAATTGCATTTTATTAGACAGACTTGACTTGTGTGCACCGACCATATGTGCGCAAGTGATAGATTAGTTTCGTTGGGTATTTATGCAATTTGAGTAGTGAGGAGATTGTTGGTGGGTTGAGTAGCTAGCATACAGCTATTTTGGTTGAAATTTGAGGTTAATTTGTGAAAAAAAGTCATTGAGGATGGTCTTGCGGTAGGGTTGACCACAATAACTGGTTAATCTTTGCATTCTCATGCCTCAAAACCTTTAATTCCAAAAATACCACTCAAATCACGATAACAGCTCCTTACATGCTCAATTACATCAACATCAAATGACTTCATTGCCAATAAATTCCTCAAAATGGCAGCAAACTTGCCAACAAGCTCGTATGTGCTCAATTCTCTTGTAGCCTCCATAATAAATCGACGAGGAGGAAAAATTTTGATGCAAATTAGCTACATAGTTGCAAACTTCATTACAATGGTTGCATAAATCACGTGAATGGCTTCTTCTCGCACCTCATAATGCGATTTTGCATAGAAAAAAAAGAGGAACAAGTCATTCATACGTTCACATTGCCGCGTGTGTTTTAATGATCGAATAGAAACAAAAGAAGTAAATAAAAATATGTAACACAATAATACTGGAACAAAGTATATGTAGCTAGTTGCAATTCCCACGATGGACCTTGAAAACATGCCTCATTATATTCTATTTAAATTGTTATGAATTACATAAGTATTGTTGCATTCTCAGCTTACAATTACTATAGTCGTTTACATGAAAAAAGATATTGGGCAATAACAGATATTGTGTATGATGCAAATTCCCATCTCTCGAAAATAGAAAAAAAATCTTACAGTCGCCTTTTCTATCTTTAGTGACTTTTGATCTACCTAAAAAAAAAATTTTCTCTTTTTTTTGGTGTGTGGTGCTTGTGAATGCTGTCCTATGGACACAACTCTTGTTTATATTTCTCCTCTTTCATCATCACTCAAATCGTCATCTGCGTAGTTTTGGAGTGCGTGTCAGTTGCGCATTTACATGAACATTTCCGTAAACAATCTATTAAAGTATGTTAGGGATGGCAATTTGTAAGCTGTAAATGCACATTCTGATACGCATTTAGAAACTTAGTTCTACAAATATGGACAATTGATGTTCTTTTATTCGCACGAAAATGGGCTTTTTTGCTTGACTTGCCTTGTTTTTTAACTGATGGACTAGAATGGCTAGAAGAAGGATTGCGATGAACGATGGATGTCGTTTGTTGGCTTTTATTTGCAGCAACGTTTGACTGAAGAGTTGGATGAGAATTTTTGTAGAATTTTTTTTGAAGGATTCGACAGGTTTTAAATGAATTGGAGGGAATTTATATAGGTTGGGGTAGGTTGTTCGACAAATATTGATTAGATCGACATTAGGACTTGATGAATAAAAAAAAATAAAGGAGCTTAATGGTAATTTTGACTCTTTGTTTCAATTTGCTAGGGTGTATCCTTAATAATAGTCAAAGATTCTAGCTTTATTACAAGAATATAACTGAAAAGCAAGCAGCTGGAATCATCTGAATTAAGTTTGATCATTTTGGTTCAAAAGGCTAATGCCATTCGACTAAAAACGACCCTAGTCAAAGCTGCTGTCATACTAAATGACTCAATTTCAATTGCTAAACCAATTAAGTTCCCACAATTTAATCTACTAAATGCATTTAAATGCACTACAACAATTAACATTTTCTGGGAAACGTAGTTCAGTGTGAATTCTTTCAGTATTTGTACAACCAAGAAACGAAATCGAGCACGACTTGCTTTTAAAAAAGCAAGTAAATTAATGATTGCCAAAAAAATTACGAAACGATCAATTGGCTACGATTTCATTTCTATAATGGCTCATTTGTTAAACTATTTATTTTAGTTTATGTGAGGAAGAATAGTTTTGAGGAATTAATGAAAATGTCAAGATTTGTTTTGTTGGAAGATTTAAGATTGAACTTTTAGAAGGATCTACAACTTTTGAATGGTGCGACCTAGGAATTTAAGGTTCCTGGATATTTATATACCCTAGTCAAGTAAAAATCTTTGAAAATTCATTTGAAGCCTACAAAAAATCCTTAAAAATTCTACAATCATCCTCCAAGTGACATCCAAGATTTACGAAACTGATTTACAAATTACGAAACTGATGAACTTGCTTTTGTCAATTTTGATCAGTTCCGTACCCCAATGTGACCACATCTACATGCTTTTATAATTTTATATTTATTATTTTTATATCACAATATTTATAATTTATAAGACCTTTAAATAAATATATTTTTAAACTACCAACATATTGTTATGCTTCTTCTTAACATTTAAGACTAAGATCAAATGGAATTTTCGTCATTAAAATCTATTTTCACTCTATAAAATTTTTAAATGAACTGAAAAATAAAATATAAAACTTTACGGAAATTTGACTATTGAGTGACTTTTTGCATCTCTGATTTTTATTTTCTTTCCTTTCACGTGTGTATTTATAGAATCAATCGACTGATGCATCATGCGCTATACTACAACATCTATTCATAAACCTTTTAGAATGTGCATCGCTGAATTATTTTTTTTCTTCTCGTATTTTATTTTTTCCGCTTCGTTTATAGCAAAAAAAACTATTTTCTGAAGTACCTCTCGCAAATGAAACTATTATTGTGTCTATTATTTCAGCACATCTAAAAAGAAATAGCTAATGTAAGTGAGCAACCTTGAAAAGGGTCAAATGATGAGTGATGTACACGATAACAGGCAATGATCGAGTAAGGTAGTGAGAGACTATCTTGCGATCTGTCAATTGACATTGTTTGGGGTGGAGTCAGGGGTTTAGCTTCATCTGTAGCATCTCTTTTCTCTTCATAGTGATCATGTGGTCAGTATTCCGTAGAATTTTTACTTAATTCCACTTCTGTCAATTGATACCGCCAAAACAGCCCGAGTTCGTCAAGTGGTTGCCACATGGTTCCCATTATGCAATTTTAATGACCGTCATCAAGAAAAGTTTGCTATATCTACTTGGGAACCTCATTAAAATCTGAGACCAACTTAGTTCATACTTTTGGGTGCAGTTTATCAATTTTAGACTCTTTGGTACCCACATGAAGACTCTGAATACTGCTCAACTACAACTCTGATTCCCCAACAGAAAAAATTAACAATACTCGACAGTGTATTTAGAATCTATGACATTTTATCAAAAAAACAAACAAGGGGCCGTTCACTTATGACGTCAAGGGGGGGGGGGGGGGGGGGTCAGCAAGAAAAGAACAATAGAAATTCCTGGAAATCCATTGTTCTTTTTTGAAAAATGACCGTTAATTTCGGACGTCAATAGTGAACGATCCCCAATTTAAATTCATATAAATTGTGAAATAATTGGAAGAGACATTGTGGCAAGCACTACAGATTTGGCTATTTTTATGCAAGAGAATTATTAATTGCGCTTTAGAGTCACAGCCCAGCGAAGTATATGAAAAAAAAAATGTCATAAGAAGCTACGAGATTTTGGCACTATTTTCATCATATTATATTATTAATAAATTTTAAACTGCGCAAATATAAAAAAAATTGCTTCTATATTGGAAGTGCAAAAATAAACACTTTACAGCTGTAAGTATTAGTGGTGTTCATAGTGGGGGTAGAGGGAAGTCAATAATAATTTTTTCAGTATCAACAATTGTCATTGAGATAAAGGAAGCCTTATTAAAAGGTTCAAGATTGAGGAGAAAGTTTTAAGTGCTTTGAAGCTGATTGAGCGAAAGTGAGGGTGTTAAATAATTTGTTTTGAGGTTGATTCAAGGATGTTTAATGAAATTCAAGTGAAAGTTAGTCTTAGTTCTATAGATTTATTGAGATAAGCACTGTGTTCAGGAGTAAGAATTTTACAAGATTTCAGCTTATTGAAACAAATTAAAGTGAAAAAGTCATCAAAAGCTGCATTTAATATTGTTTTTATTAATTTAATAAACAAATTTTACATCTTCTACTGAAGTTTCATAAAGAGAGCTTAATCTCATAAGCTAAACTCAAAATTTCATCTTATTAACCTCAAAATAAGAACACAAAAGCTACTAATCTTCTGAAAAGAGATAAGGAGATAAAATATCCACTAAACCATCCAAAAGTAAGTTCCCAACAAAACCTAAACAATATTCAAAAAATCTTTAAAGCTACATCCACTTTGGCAGTGTGTTTAGCTGGTTGTGATCGCAATTGTCTCTTAATTTGCACGAGATTTATTTGCAAACTTGATTTCACAACCCTATTCGCCCTGCCCTAGTGAATGAAACAAGTCAACAAGAAGATTTAAATGTGAAATGCTGAAAATCAATAGTTTTGTAATATAAAATGGAAATATAGGCAACGTGCAGTGCTTGAAAAGTGAAAAGCTGAGAGAGTATTTATAAGAGAAAAAGCTTGTGCTTACAAAATTGAAATAAAATGTTTAAAGAAATATTCGCAGATGATATTTTTTGATTTATTATAATATAGCTTTTTGAAAAGTTGGAAATTTTCAAAGTTTGAAATGTGTGCAGTTTTTCTTTTTTTAGCTTTTAAGAATGCAGCAGTCACTAATTTTGCAAACTCATGATGACCAGAATGTTTTTTTTTTCAATGAGTCAAAACTTACTTCACAGATATTATCTTTTAAATCAACTAAATCAAAATCTATTTCAATAATTTGTAAAATGTTCTCAAAATTTATAGAATATTAAAATTACTTTCATTTTCTAATTTAATAATAATATATACAATTTATTTGTAATATAATGTGACAAATTATTCTCAATAAATGGTTCCAAATTACAGCTTTAAAGTCATAATTTTCAAAATATATAATTTAGAAAAATTAATGAATATGAAAAATTTCTATTTATAAAGTTCTGTATTTCAAATTCAACCAATTCCTAAAATACACTTGTTGGATTTGAATCAAAATTTAATTTTGTTCCTGAATCTGCTTAATTTAAAAATGAAATTCATCATAGCTATTCTTTGTGTTCTCGTTCATTTTGTGTGGGCTAAAGTATCTCCTTGTGCAACTGATAAAGGACCTCTTCCAAAATCAGTAACAATAGCTAATTGTGATAAAGATGAAGTTTGTGATTTTGTCCGAGGAAGATCAATCATTGGTGACTTTGAATTTGAAGCTAGTAAGTATTTTCTTAGTCAGCTCCCAGTTATTTCCTTATAAACTCCAAACATCAATTATTATTTCAGAATCTGACATAACAGCTTTATATCCTGTTGTCTACATGACACTTGGCAACAACAGAAACCTAAAAGCCATGTCTAATGCACCTGAAGATCGAATTATTGGCTGTGATTGGCTTCTTGATGGCTACAAGTGCCCAATTGCTAAAGGAAAGTCTGCAGTATGGAGATTAAACATGCCGATTCATAAAATGGAAGATCTTTCATCTGGAGCAATTGAAGTCCAAATGAGGTCACAAGACAACTCCACGCATTTCTGCGCCGTTATTTGGGGAAATGTTTATGCTTTTTAAGTAAACTTTTATGGTATTAGAAGCTTTGGTTTTAGAATCACTGATGTACATTCCTGTAAACATTCTTGCAATAAAACTAACTCTGATGATGGATATCCATGAGCTTCAAAATGCAGGTGGATAGCTTTGCAGTATTCTTGAAATTTTTCCTTAGCTTCATTTAAGTCGAGCTTGGAAATTTCATTTTTAGACTTCTTAGCCCATTTTAAGGTCTTCTTATCCATTGATTTGAGTGAATTGAATTGTGGATAATTTTTGCTGCATGCTTCACATTGGCAGTGGAATGAATATTGTTCATAAAGTGTGATTTGACGTTCTGCTTTCGGCTGGATGAGGAATGTTGATCTGAAATGAATATTTAGGGTTTTTGATAAATTTTGACTTTTTTAAATTGGTTAGGAATCGAACTCATGTTACCACAAAAGAGTGGATCTCATGCCTAAGTACTAGATCGATTCACATACATTTCAACGATTCTTACCTGTAGCAATCAAATATCTGCTCCCCTTTCTTTATCGGCTTATCAACCATTATCACAACCTTATCATACACATAACATCTGTTGATATTAGGCGCGCATGAATGATTAATCAGTGAAGCAAATGTGTAACATCCAACACCGATCATTTGAGGTTCTCTGGTGAAGGATTTTTGAATTGACCATCCACAAATGCCATGGAAGTTGCAGTCATAAAGTTGAATTGCTCTGGCGATGAAGAATTCAATAAAGTCTGAATGTTTATTCCAAATATCCAACAGTTGTGAATTTAATCTGAATATTATTTCAGGTGATTCACTCATTGAACTTTTATCACTTCTAGCTAAGCAGAATGCTGATAATAAATAATATTTTGCTGCTGTATCTTCATCTGCTTTTGAGACATCAAAGTCATATACAGAAGTTGAGGAATTAATGTAGTTTGATAGAAAATGCTGAAGATCTTCAACTGATCCATTGAACATATTCAAAGCTTGAAAGAAAACTCTCATTGCCATCTGCATGATTCCAGTTTTAAGCAGAATTTCAATTATTGCACATTCATAGTTGTGGTAGCTCTTCATGGCATAGTCTCTGCATTCCTCAGAACAAAACATTGCTGTGGATGAAAAAATAAGCAAAATTGCATTCAAAAAAAAAAAGTCAGTAAAACTCACTTGAAATGCAGTATGGACACGGAATCAAGTCCATTAAGTTGTCTTTCAAGCAAACAGAACATCGCTGAAATTTGTTCATTTCCGGACAACTGTCATATCTTGAGTCACTCTTAATGATTTTAAAATGCGGTTCCTCAATTGCCAAAATATCACCAACATTTAAATCTTGTGTAGTCACAACATAACGACCGAAAGCATCATTTTGCCTTAATTCGAGACAATTAACTACAAATGGTAGGCGTGGATTTGCTTTGTATGACAATTTTATAAAGTCGAAAGGATTTTCAAGCATCTGTTGCTGCTCAGCTTTTAATTCGTGACATTTTTGAGTTCTTTTGTCAAGAATGTGGAAGTTCTTTTCAGGATATCCATTAACTTTTGCCAATTCAATGTTTTTCAGACATTTTTCATACAACTTCATCTCAAAATAAACAGCAGATCGATTAGCATAAGCCAGTCCAATTCCTTCACTTGCATCTGGTGCATAACATAGAATCTCATTGTACTTGACTAATGCATCAAAAAAGTTTCTCTGACTGTAAAGTTTATTTCCACTGACTCGACATTCTTCAGCAATTTGAGTGGATTTTTCCATTTCTATATTTTCGTCTGACATCCCTGAAATACATGAGAAAAATTCTGGATGAACATCAAAAAACTTGTTTTTCTTTCCAGCATTTGAAAACATTTTTTTAATGTCTGTAGCGTAGGTGTGTAGAAAATCAATTGTAATTATTTTTCATGGATTATTAAACTCATTTATATTGCAGAGAAACAGGAGAAACATTTATATTGCATTAAAGTGTGAAGCAAATCATTACTCAGAGCTGAATTAAGTTCATTCACATGGACACTTTTGCTATTAAGCGGAATGTGATGCAGCTGTGCAGGTGCCAAATCAGTGGATTCATGTAGGATAAATTGTTATTTTTAATTAATATATATGCAGTCCTTCTTCTGCCTTATTTAATTACAAGAGCAATTTCTGTTTAATATTAAAAATTCATTCTGACACTAAATATGCGCAGGAAATGTTTGCAGCTTTATGGGGGAAAAAAGTCACGCTCAGTGAAAATTCAGCAGTCAATTTTTGTCAAACGTTGTCTCATTGTTTCTTTATCAGCCAAAAATATACTTATTATTTTGAGACTTGCTGACGTAAATTGCTTGCAGCTCACATGATATGATCCTTGAGTAACTGTTTGTGTTATGAATGTTTTTAATACTCAACTATACTTGGTCTAGATCAGAGTCGCTTGTCAGCAGGCACAGATGTCAGATCTATAACAGCAAATGACAAGCGATAGGAAGTGATAGATCGCAGCTCTGGTCAAGATATTATGTTTAAGCAAATAGTAGTTAAGGAGGTTGGGATATTGATTTGTTGTATTTTGTAATCCTTCCTCTAGAGTTGGTTTCTGGCTACCTTATTCACGGTTTAATTTAATTTGGACCATAACATGGATTTTTGGTTTAAAGATAAGTGATCAAAAATGAGAGAATTCATCTAATTGACCTAGGTTTTTTAAATTCCATAAATCAATCCCGATTCTTCAGGCTCAACTCAAATAAATTAATTAAATTCTATTGAAATTTTGCAAAATCATCTAAATCAACGACCGTTCAACCATAAAATATTAACCTCATAATTTTACCATGTCATCTTCATGCTCATCTTCATCTATCCTTTTAAATTCAAATTAAAAATTAGTAAAAATTATATTCATAATAAATAAATTCTTTCTGTGTGATTTTTCTTCAATGAAAATTTTGTGGTCAATTTCTTCTTGTTGCAAATAGCTTGTTTTAATTAATGAGACATGTTTATCTGAGCTGCTTAATGTGGGTACATGAAAATTGAGACACAAAAGTCTATTGTTGCGTTAATCTAATAATCTTCTCTGATTTGAAGAAAAGTTTCATTTCCTTTGATCATTTCTTTATTTTGAGTATGGGATTATTTTAGGATATATTCTTTGTAGCATTCAAATTATCATCGCTATTAGTTTACATTATGATAATTTTTGAATAAACTAAAGTTTTTTTTGCAATGTTTATTTTAATTTCACGCACAAAAATTGAAACTATCTGTCTGGAAATAAAGATTTAAAAATAACTAGATTTCAAAAATTGAGCAGATTGCTCGAATGATTCTAAAATCAATGCTTAATATTTTATGAAATCAATTAAGCTGATTCCAAAAATATTTTCAACATTTCTACAGATGGCAAAATTTTATGGTTATTTACCAATGGGTGCCGATGGTTCTTATTCTTCGAAAATGGTCCTTATTCTTCGAAATCGAAAATTCGAATTTGAATTTTTTTCAAAAAATGAAATTCCGTTAAAAATATTTCATCAAAAAATTATATTTGTTTACATCAGTAAAATTTTGATTAATTTTCATTAATTATGGGTAAAACCTGCAAAATTGCAAGCTGCAACAAAAATAAAACAATTACAAATCTTTTTAAAGTACCTAAGCACTCATTAAACAAAGATAAATGGTTGTTATTTTTAAAATCAAACAACATAAGTGTCAACGGAAGTGAGATTTCTGCTGTAAGTGATTGTAACACATTCAAGACAAAATTTTCAGATATTGTTCTTAGCCAGGTTGAAATTCCATTTGAGCATTGTTCAAAGACTATTGAAAATTTAATATTATTTTTGTAACTTTTCGATCAAAACTTGAGCTTTATTGTCGATTGTTACATTCAAAAAACAAATTTGCGTCGAAGAATTGATTTTTGTTCATAAATAAATTTAACGGTCTTTAAAATTTCAAAATTTTTTATATAAAATTATCTTCGAATTTTTTCGAAACAGGTTTGAATTTTAGCAAAAATAACGGTCTACATTGTTGTAGGCACCCATTGGGTTATTTATTTTTAAGAACATTTTATTTCATTTTTTTCATGTTTTTCAAAAAAATTTGGCACGCAACATCAAATAAATTTATTACAGGTCTTTATTGAATCGATGTGATGATTAATATTATGATGACTATGATGATGATATGTTTTACACTATACTAAATTTTAAAGCTACCATAAATCGGATCTGTGACTTTTTAATAGTTTGGGAAAATTAATTCAGCGATTTGATTTTCATTTAACTTTTTGCTTAAAATGATTTATTTCAGATTAAAGTTATGAATCAAAATTAAAAATTTCATCACATTCGCCACATTCTGAGGTATAATTTATATTTAAACAGGAAAACGCACTCAACTTAAAATTGATCTGTGGCTAAATGTGTTAATTTTCTTCCATAAAAACTGCATATCCAAACAAAAATCAATCATCATCGCCATACGAAAAATTTTAATTTGTGTGTGAGAAATAAACAGGAATCTTGAAATAAATAATCTGGCAATTTCTGTATTTGATCTGTGCTAATTTGTGACAGTGAAATACTTAAACAATTTTTTCTCTCCAGCATGACGATGATTGACGAGATTTGCATGTGAATGTAGACACTTTAGAATTCTAGATGCTTGAGTTTGTTAAATGATATACTCAAGAGGATAGTTCAAGAGGCTCTTAGTAATAGATTCTAGGATCAAAAAGTGATTTTTATATCTTTTGAAATAATTATTCTTGAATTGACAAACTAGTTTCAGCCATAAACAGCATAATATCCAATATATTGAATTTTTTATATTTTATCGATTTTTTTCTCCTTCAAACTTAGTAAAACTAGCTGAATTTATATCCATAAAACCACTAAAACTAGATTTAAGTGTTAACTTGCTGAAAAATTGCTGCAAACATTTTAATTTAAATTGATTCAAACAGAAACTTTCGTCCACAGTCCTGAACTATTTAAAGAAGCTTCATAATCTTGAAGTTTAGTTCAATCAATAATCTAGAAGCTTCAAATACTTTGTCATTCTTTTACTTTATTAATTCACTTAAAAAAATGCAATTTAAAATTTTTTCACAGAAAAAAAAACTTCTTTAATGTTTTTCATTCGGTGCATTATAAAGTTTTAAGTGCCGCAGTTATATTTTATTATGTAAAATTCTTCCTTTTTAAATTTTTTACTGATTTTTATTGATTTTTCTCTCAACCGACCTTCTTATTGAAGTTTTTTTCTACAGAATTCTAAAATGCAATAGAATTTATTTTCCGAAATTCTAATGCTATTGATTTAAAATATTTTCTAGATCAATTCTTAAACTTTTGACACAACAGCACAAGAAAAATTCCCACTGCGTCCAACAAGTTCAAAAGCTCAGGCAAAACTGAACACTGCGTGCAAAAGGAAAAGAAAATATTTGATGGAAATTGAAATTTCTTTTCATCGATGCTATCGCGAGTAGAATTTCCTTTTATTCAATCGTTGAAAGAAAAAAAAATTATTTTTTTTGCATATAAACTGTATACATTAGCCGAGCTGATGAAGGAAAAGATTATCATAACATCGGTTTTTTGTTTGTCTGAATATAATAAATGTTTGGGTGGGTCGAGGATGAATATTTTGTATGTTGAGGTAGTTTTGAGTTTATTTTTCATTTTTGCGGATTATATGAAAGTGATGATGATGATTGTTTTGGTTTTGCGGTCTATTCAATGCTCAGAGACTCATCCGAAGTAAATAGCGATAATCAAAAGCCTTTATAATGAAACTAAGGTTATTGATTATAAGAACAAATCTTATCAAGAATTACAAATGTTCTAAATAGATTAGAACTTGACTATATTCGTTTTTATTTAAGATTGATGCACTTGATCCTTCTGATAATCTCATTGGTATTTAACTCAATCTAGTTTGTAGACAAAGCTGCAACTTATTCGGATTTCCACAAATGGACTTGCCTAAGATGTGTGTTTCTTCACAGAGATTATCTCAATAGCTAGTTTATTAACTTTTAGTTATAAAAAAAATTCAGCAATCTCACAAAACAACATCAGCTCTAACAATCATAATAAATAACTCAAACTTTGATTTCATTATTTGAACTTTAACTTCATATGATCTCAAAAATCAAAACAAATTTCAAAATTTCATTCAAAACTTTCAAACTCTCTCCAAACTCAAAACTTCTCATTTTCTCCAAGCTACAATCCCCCACAACAAACCATAAATCACTTTGATTTACATACATTTATAAACGTTACGATGAATGAACAGAATGCCGCCAATAGTGCATCTCAATCGCAGAAATTAAAATTAGAGAGTGAATGAAAATGAAAATGAGAATGAGAAAAGATGTCGTTAGAAGGAAGAAGATCAAGACTTATTAACATCATTTTAATTACTTTAGAGCGCTAAATCATACATTTATTGGGGATTATTTATTTATGATGTCAATGGCATCATCTGATTCTGAAATTTCAAACTGAAGAAAAACAATTGAAATTAATTTTGGAACAATGATTTGAAACTGATCAAAGGACGTGATTTATCAATTTCGAATTTTTAAGGTACAAAGACAAAAATTCGAATTTTTGATACACCTCACTTGTAATTGACTCAAAAGTAAAGGTGACAACTTTTATAATTTTTGCGAATTTATTTAAATGGATATGAGACTAATAAAATTTATGAGATCGTTCTTTATTTCATAAAAATAAGCCACTGCTGTTGAATCATAAATATCTTCACTTCATCTGCTTTTCATAAATTGTTTTTTTTTCCTTAGGAAAACTTTTGTAAATGATAAATTTCGCTAATTCCAGTGAGAACCAAAAATATTCCGCAAGAGATACAAATTGGATGTCATTAATCTTCGGGAATTGACTGTGGGGACGTTCTTTTATTAAGTTTTTAAAATATTAAAATATTTTTAAATCTTTCATTATTGATTTACAAATTTTTTGTGCTCTTCTGTTGTCTTTTTTTATTAAATCACAGGATATGCAGGACATTTGGACTTTCATTGCTTGGTCACGGTCCCTATAAAATCCAATAAGGTATCAGTTTCAAACATGACAAACTTCCAATATCTATTCATCCTCAATCTTACAAAAAAAAACATACATTAATGCTCACTTGAAAATTTTAAAACCTCTATAAAAGTTTCCGAAATCACATCTGAGCCCCCAATGTTAATTTGAGGATGTGAAATTGCGGCATTTTCGCAACGAAAGAATCAAGCGTACGTGCAATGTTTTTGCTTTTTTTCCCTCAGTTTTCTTTCGACTTTCTAATCGTTCATTCACTCTTTCTTTCTGACTAGGAAAGTGTTACTTAATTATTTATTTTCGTGCTTCCAAATTTTATTTATTCGACTAGGAAAACCTTTAAAAATTGACAATTTGGTGATAAAACTTATGCTACGCATAATTAGTGCCCATTAAGACATCATTAATTACGATTCTTTCAAATTATTACAAAAATAAAGGCTGCAACGCATCATTTCGTGTGTTTTTATTTTTTGAAGGAAGGAACAGAAATTTTACTAAGATTTATATGATCTACATCCATTCAACAGAGCGACACTTCCAATATAAACAGCGTTAATTCAATTAATGAAAAATTATTATTTATTAAGACATCTTCTAGATTAACCAACACATATAAAAATATAAGCACAGGTGAGCTATAAATATCATTTAATGAACATCACATCTCATTATCCACGAGAATATTCAGTCATCACTGTAGATGCTATGGATGGGAGGGTTAGTGAAAGTGTGAAATTTCACTCAGTCACTTCCAACTTAAAACTTTTATCATTATCTTAAAATTTTGTGCATTGAAATGACATTTATGTCAGGGAGGAGCCGAGATATTTTTGTTATAAGAATTTGGAACTGTTAAAAAATGTCAAAAAAGATTAAAACTTATCAGAAGTCGGTTGATTAGTTTTAAAGCCTTGTTTGATATTAAGTAGTTTAGTGTCAAACCTACGAACGTACCTGGAGATACGTTGACTTGTCTGAATTAGACAATGTGATAAGTTACGGGATTTAATCATTCTACATTTCATAATTTTCCTCCCAAACCATCCATAAACCTACAAAACATCGATTACACGATCCATTACTTCATTAATGATTCCTTAAGTGCGTATCCGGCGGTAAAATACCTCCTTCAATTTTAATACCCACTTCAATTACATTTTTTTTAAACTTTATGACCGCGATTAATCGCAAAACATTTTAATTGACTTTAAAAAACACAGATGTTGATTTTGATATCAACTGGCAGTCAAGGAAAAATAATAGGTGGTGAAAAAAGCTAGGAACGATGAAAATAAAAGATTATGAATATTTCCTTCATCTTATTATAAAAAAATCTTTTTTGCTCTCTTGTTTATTAAAAAACAGAAAAAAACATAAAAAATTTTCTTTCGGAATATTTAAAAACAGAACTTCTTCTTGTCTTTGTGAAAAGTGAAAGGAAAAGTCGTAAATTTAGTTGTTGCTGTCATACTTCATACGCATATTTGTCATTTTAGAGGCACATTTGGTTTTAAATTATGGTTTTAAAAAATTTAACGGACTTTTAAGATTTAAATTTTGCAAAATTTTGATTTTTTTCGTAGTTTCACACCCCAATTAAGTTTAAATTGTCGATTAAAGCTTTGATAACAAAGAAAATGTAAAGGATGTGCCTTGTGTAGCTGTTATTTTAAGGGTTAGGGTGATCTTTCAGAGCCAGCGATCCTATATTGGACTATAGGGTTCAGTCTAGTCAACTTCTGATCCCTCTTTCACTAACGTGTCATAAGTTTTACTAAGAAATCGAGATAACTAGTCAAAATGACTGAAACTCCACAACACTCAATCTCCTGCAAGCTAAAATACCAAAATAAACAGAATGAAAAACACGAGTACGAAAATAAAAATCTTTGGATATTTATAAAACATTTATGTTTTTTTATCTGTTTGTAGACATTCCGTGCTAAATGATCGTTAATTATTTTAAGGTATCAACTCCCATTAGCCATGATTGACATTATTGACTCATTCAAGTCAAGTGAATTTGCTGACTCAAGTAGAGCTGAAGGAAATAAACTTTACTGTGAGCGCAGCTTTTTTGATGCATTAGTCAAGTACAATGAGAGTCTATGTTATGCACCAGAAGCAAGTGAAGGAATTGGACTGACTTTTGCTAATCGATCTGCTGTTTATTTTGAGATGAAGTTGTATGATAAATGTCTGAAAAACATTGAATTAGCAAAAGTTAATGGATATCCTGAAAAGAACTTCCACATTCTTGATAAAAGAGCTCAAAAATGTCACGAACTAAAAGCTGAACAGCAACAGGTGCTTGAAAATCCTTTCGACTTCATAAAATTGTCATACAATGCAAATCCACGCCTACCATTTGTAGTTAATTGCCTAGAATTAAGGCAAAATGATGCTTTCGGTCGCTATATTGTGACTACACAAGATTTAAATGTTGGTGATATTTTGGCAATTGAGGAACCGCATTTTAAAATCATTAAGAGTGACTCAAGATATGACAGTTGTCCGGAAATGAACAAATTTCAGCGATGTTCTGTTTGCTTGAAAGACGACTTAATGGACTTGATTCCGTGTTCATACTGCATTTCAAGTGAGTTTTACTGACTTTTTTTTTGAATGCAATTTTCTTATTTTTTCATCCACAGCAATGTTTTGTTCTGAGGAATGCAAAGATTATGCCATGAAGAGCTACCACAACTATGAATGTGCAATAATTGAAATTCTGCTGAAAACTGGAATCATGCAGATGGCAATGAGAGTTTTCTTTCAAGGTTTAAACATGTTCAATGGATCCGTTGAAGATCTTCAAGACTTTCTTAATAAATGCAACAATTCTTCATTCTCTGTCTACAATTTTGATTTTTCAAGCTCCAAAGAGGAAGTTGTGGCTAAACACTATCTATTGTCTGCTTATTGTCTGGTCAGAAATGATAAAATGTCAATTAATGAATCTCCAGAAAAATTATTCAAACTGCACCCACAATTGTCAGACATGTGGCAAGTTCATTCAGAATTTATAAAGAGATTCTTCTCGACAATACTAAAATTAGGCGATTCCAATTTCCACGGAATATGTGGATGGTCAATCCAAAAATATATGAATCAAGAGCCACAAATGATTGGTGTAGGCTGCTATCCATTTATATCACTGATCAATCATTCATGCGCGCCTAATGTTCATCGAATGTATGCTGAAGGAAAAATGTTTATTATGGTTGAAAGACCGATAAAGAAGGGGGAGCAGCTGTTTGACTGTTATAGGTAAGTACAAATCCAGTGCAGGGTTTCTCAAACTATGATCTGCAACACACTGATGGTCACTGAAGCCTTCACGTGTGTCGCGAAATGTAAGACGACACCTTAAATATTTAACCAAAAAGGTTGAGAACCACTGAAGCAGAATGTCATTTCAACTTTAGATCAGAGCTTCTCAAACTTTACTGACTAGTGATCCCCAAAAGTTAAGGACAAACAGAATATAAGGTTCCACGACATACTAGGAGGCCAAAGCTCATAGTTTGAGAACCACTGCCTTAGATATGGATTTATTCTTGACAAAGTAAGCACCAACCCAAGCATTTAATATTCCTAATATTTTTAGAACAACCTTCTTCACACAACCGAAAGCAGAACGTCAAATGATTCTATACGAAGACTATTCATTTCAGTGCCAATGTGAAGCATGTACCAAAAATTATCCACTCTTCCATTCTCTTAAATCGATGGATAAAAAGACTCTCAAGTGGGCGAAGAAATGTAAAAGCGATACCATAAAGCTCGACTCGAATGAAGCAAAGAAGAAGTTCCAAGAATACTGTACAGCCATTCAACTTCATCACGAACAAAATGGATTTCCGTTTGCTGAAATTGTTTTATTACAAGAGTGCCTGCAGCATTGTTTATCGATTATTATTAAGCCAAAAGTTTTATTTGCGTAGACAAAAAAGAAGAAAATTTCGATAGAGACTGATTGTTATTTTATACTGTTGCGTACTTTTAAGACGTCATTTTGCCAAAAAAACCTTATCAGCAGACTACTGACTACATATAAGGTGGCAATCATTTAATTTTAATTTTCGAGAACGTGAAAGAAGTTTGAACTTTTGAACTTCCTGAAATTTTTCAGCTTGAAATGTCCGATGAGCACGTTTAGTTATGATTAGTATGGAATTAATATTGTCTGGATGTTACCAGCGCATTTCCAGATGATGATGTAATATGTTACTACTTTTTTTCAATAAAAAAAGAAAAACGTGGCTGGAATAAGCCGCGAAAAGTGGAGATATTTCTATTAAGGTATAGACACTATTTGTGTAGATAAAACATTTGTAGTCAACTGATGAGGTATGGATGTAAGTATATGTCAAAGTCAGAAATTTGTTGTTCAATTTATCCTTAGGTATTAAATACTTCTGCGTAGTGTATACTGTTTGAAGGCTAACTCTAGTGAGTGCACTAGGCTTCTCAAAGTGTTTACTTTGTCTAATCCTTACGTATTGGCTCGTATTTGATGTCTCTTAATGATTGATACATAGAAATGCTTCAGCAAGTGCAGAGCTTAACCAATATGAATTAAATCAGAGTGCACATTACAATTGCTTATCCATTGGGCTACTAGTCTATAAATTCGCCATAGAATCATTATAATAGTTATCAAAACTGCTCAAATAAGCACAATACGATACACCAAGCATCAGTTGTGCAACAACAAAAGAAACTAGCAGAAGTAGCTTTTAGAACCCGGGACAGAAGCCTGTTCAACCGCTTTATTAACGCCCTACGATTCACAATGGATCAATAGGAACATCAAGCATCAGTTGTGCCAATTAAGGTACCTTATTCCTGATGTTGGCTTGATCCAACTTGTTTTATTTAAATATTCCCCATTTAACAATTATTGATGATCCTACAATTCAGATGATTCCTTTCAAAAATAGATACATAGTTTCGTTGCCTAGATCTATACTTAAACAATCAAATTTGTCCACATGTATTATGTATATTGACACATATGAATAATAATGTAATAGTAAAGAGTGCCTTCAACTTGTCGAATAATAAATTGAACTCTCCGAACCTTTCAATACAATGTAAAGATTCTTGATAGCAATTCTAAAATAAATCCAAGCACATTTCACAAAATAAGCATGCCAAAAAAAAGCCACAATAACATTTTTCTATTGGAAATGATTTATTTTTAAATTAAATTCCGATCAATCTTAAATTTTCATCGAGAAAACTATTTCATTTGATTTTAAAAATTACAATCCACTTCAAAATGTGGACATCCAAAAAGAATTCTTCGTTTTATTTTTATAAAAAATTAACAAAAAATGGTATCAAATTGTGTTTTTTAATTCAAAAAATGCACACGCGTTTAAATGAAATCGAGAACACTCTAGACATCAGCACCGGTAGCTCTGATTGTCATGTCAGAGACATTAACGCCATATGGTAAGGTTAGAAGATAAGCGACAGTTTCTTCGAGATCTTCTGGTACTAAAACTGGATTTACATAAAGTGACTTCTCGTCTTCAAGTGAAAGTCTGGCAATTTTGAAGATGTTTGTGTTTTTGACAACGCCAAGATTTAAGCTTGTTATACGAACCTTGCGATTTTTTAAGTTATTCAACTCATATCGCATAACCTGAAAAAAAGAATATAAGCAATGCATTATTTTTGCGATAATTACGTGGACGAAGAAAATGTATACTCACGTTGCTTGTTGTGTTAAGAGCACTGCATGCGCCTGAATAAACTCCAAGTTCAACATTGGACATTGGTGTGAGGAGGTTTGAAAAGTTGGAATTGATATTGATGATGTATCCATAAGAATCTCTTGTTTCCATTGACTTGAAGGCTAAACGAGCTGTACGAACAGCACCAGTAAAGTCGACATCGATGTTGTATGACAATTCTGAGACAGGCTTCTCATAATCCAAAACTCCGATGTTTCTGTATGTTCTGGCTGTATTAACGAGAACATCAACGCCGCCGAGAGTCTCCACATACTCAAAAGCTTCAGCAACGCAAGCATCTTTTGTCACGTCACATTTTTTTGAGTAGATTTGTGCGTCTTTTAATTCTCCCTTCAATTTATCGATCTCATCAAGTTCAATATCCAAGCCGACAACCTTAAGTCCAGATTGTGCAAGCTTCTTCAAGACTGCGAATCCAATGCCTGAATTTGCACCTGTGACAACAGCGACTTTGTTACTCCACTTATCCATTTTTTTTTGTAATAAAGGTTTTTTTCAACTGCAAACTGAGAAAAGAAATATGAAGGAAGAAAATTTAGCTTCGCACTCAATGAAGTCTCTCGCACAACTAAAATTGGAAGTAAATTTAAAATACTTGATTGTTCTACACAAGTTCCAGATGTGTCAATACACTAACATAAACATACACGAAAAGTTGGTAGAGGGAAAAAGAAGTTGCGTTTAAAAATATTTTTTATTTTTGTTTGCCGGCTTAACAACTTCTTCTTGCTGATGTGTGAGTGACTGTTCCATACCCACACACACATGTAGCCGTAAAAATTTCAGATGAATTGTCTTTTTTGTGAGCAAATCTCTACCTGAAATCAATGGAAAGTTTATAGAATGATTTAAAATGTATAGATGAGCTTAGGTCAGTTCTTAAGCTGAATTTCACGCGAGACTTTGACAGTCAAAATTTGAATTTTATCAACACACACATACTAGTCAAATCCTTTCACTTTCCACATCATCATAAACAACATTAAATTGTTACGATGCATATCTCATTTGTTATTTCCTTTCCAGTTATTACACATAATGAAGTTTGTTGGAACTGCAATGAATATTGATCGAGTCTGTATGCTGCATTGCATGCAATTTATGTTCACGTTCTAGTCTACACAATTGTCTGATATTCAGATAACTGTTTTTGTAATTGGGAGAATAAGAAGCTGACGTGGAAATCTTGGGAAGGATTTGATCGAATGTTTCGTAGCCTTTGGTATTGTGGATGTAGATTGAGAGAAAATTGAAAGGCTTTTATTATACAATAACAAGATTTAGGTGTTGTGAAAGAAAGTTGATTGGGATGTAGTTTTGATGGCTGAGTGGATCTAGTCAATGTTTCGTCAATGAATTAGTAGAAAATTAGCCTTAACCACACATCCGTGTCCACACAATCAAAATTTATGTTAGAATACAGCTCAATAATTTGAGAATATTTACTCAAAAACCTGACCGGCGTAACTCCATATTGCAAAAAAAAAATCATCATCTAATAGTCAAAGTATCCATAGTATTCTAAAGAACCATTCTATGCCCAAAAAGACAGCCTTGAACTATATTATATTTTGGTGAGATAATCAAATTCTCGTTTCTGCTGTAGGAGAACAGACTTTGCGATCCACTGAAACAAATTTTCGGACAAGCTGCTTCATACATTGTTGAATGATGTGTAACTTTATAATTTGATTTTGTGTTTTGAATCTTGTTTGTGTTCGGAAGTGAGTATTTATGTCATCTGCTCAAATTACGCTTTTTTCTAATTGGATGAATCTCTTTCAACGAACTAGATTAAGGTTGATCTTTTATGACGTTCCATATTCTAGGAGTGTCTCGTTCTTTTCATTAGTTGATTGAAATTTGAAATGACTTTTGACCAAAAAATCTCAAATTTGATTGAATAAAAACTATAAAGTATGGTCTGATGTCTGACTGTGCTTCAAAGATGACTCTATAGCGTAAAAATCGAAAATATGTCTATTAATTTTGATAATGTTTACTGGTACTCTCTTATCAAGCCGGTACATAGTTATTGAATGTAAGTTCAATTATCTAATCATTGTTTGTTTTGAATTCCGTTGTTTGTTTTGGAACTATTGTAAACAACAGTTGACATTGTGTAATCGATCAATTTTTGTAATGTAAATCGGAAAATTCAGAGTTCGAAGTTGACTTGCATATCCATTCAACTTAATTTAGATATTTCTGGATGTTTCCAGTTTTTTGAAGTCTCATCCTTCTAAAATCCAGTAATTTGATCCCCTTCTTAGGTCAAAGACTCTTACATCAAAACAATATTCCCAACAATTACGCATGGAAGTCATTCCACAAAAAGTTATAATCCGAGAATTCTCATGAAACTGATATGCATGAAAAAAAAAAATGTAGAAACGCGGTTCTCATACTGAAACATACATTTATGTAAAATGTATTTATATCCACTCGAAGTCGCAGTAAATGTTGTGCATTACGCAATTTGGATGAAATAAAATCTCGTTTTTTTATGAAACATAAATCTTGTAACGCGTAATATTTGAGTTGCTGTAGCAATTTCTAGTTTGTTTTCACTTTCAAAAGGACAATTTCCATTCATACCTCAGTAATATGAGCTGTTTTGTAAGTAAAGACTAACGACGTAGATGTATGAGTCTGTATTCCACGCCTATTAATTATTCTTGTTTTAGGCATATTTTCATTTTTAGAATGACCTTGAATTTTTTGAGATTTTCTCATTACACTGGTTCCATAAACTTCAAGATTGAATATTTTTTTAGCAGATTCTATTTATAGCTAGGAATTATTATGTATAGGGGTGTTTTTGTGAACATTTCTGACTCGTTGTGTATTTATGCAGGATGTATTTGCTTTTTGAATGTTCCCATAGAATCCTCAAGTTTTAATGACCTAATCCTGTTCTTAATCCGACTAATATTTGATCCTTCACCACATATTGCTGCCCAAAAAACATTTGATGCCAATTTTCCCATTTGATTAATCCTTCCGTCGATATTCGCATGCATGCGATCCATGCTACTTTACATACTTCTCCATTCATTCAATCAACTCACAAACTGTAAACTTCAAGTCTCAATAGTTTTATTTTATACTTCTACGCATGTTAGAAGCAGGCATAGAAGTTTTTTGTTCATTTAGCAAGAAATGCAAATTTTTGTGTGATGTATTATTTTGTAGGTGCTTCTTTAGCTTCTTCTTCTTCTTCTTTGACTTCTGTGTAGTTTTCTGGACCATAAATTTCAGGATTCTCTTCCAGGAACTCTACAAATGCGTCTAAATATTTTAGCAGTAATGCCATTTTCTCCTCGTTCATTGGTGTAGCTGACAGGAATTCTGGAAGAACCAAATTGGATGTAAATCATAGAATCATCAATGGCATATTAGAATAATTGTTGGAACTTACCAGGCAACTTTACAACAAGCCGACTTAAATGATAAATCCCAAAAATCATCGAAGGCTCAGGATTCGAGTCATCTCCAACCATTCGCCAATTAAAGACTTCCTCAATAATTTTATATGCAGCAGATGTTAATCCAGAATTTAATGGTTTCCATTCTTTTGAAAAAATTCCTTTTCGATGTAGTTCCATTATTGGTAAGGAATCATTTGAGCTTGTACTTGCCATTGACGACAAATTTTCAGGTTTTTCATCATCATCAGTTTTTAGAGAATGTGATCTTAGCCTTGTTGATATCCTTTTCTCAGATGCTAGTGAAGGTGTTAAATTTTCGGGTGTTTCAGGCTGCTGCTGATTTTCAGGAATAGGAACAAATGGCTCAGATTTACTGAAGAAATTATCGAGCATTAATGGCTCGCCTGGATCATATTGGAAGTCCTTTAAATTCTCTTCGGACATAATTCTTTCATATTCTTCTTTCTCTTCTGTATATAGCAGGAAATCTTTAAGGATGAAGTTAAAATAGACTCGAAGACCATCCGCAACTTCCTTACATAGATCAATATTGTTGCTTATAGCCTCATAGTCAATTGACTTGACTTTATGCTCCTTTTTAATGATTCCTAATATGCTGCTTCGTCTTTTTGGTTTGACTTGTTCTTGCTGTGGAGCTGTCACGACTTTAATTGCATAGCTTTTAACAAAATTCTCAAGTATTGCCAAAATTGGCAACTTTGCTGGAAGTTTTGCATAATTCTTTTCCTTTGTGACTTTAAAGTTGTCAAATTCTAAGTGACTTTTAAGGTGCTCTCCAATATGTAGAAAGATCCTATCATCGTCATGAGATTCTGTGGCGGAACTGCTATAATATTCATGCTCAAAATCATTCTGATCTTCAGATTTCTTTGTCTCGTCCAAATTCTCGCCTAACAGCATTTTCCTCTCATTCATCTTTTTGCGTTTCTTTCGTTCCTTCCTGTACAAGTAGGCTCCAAGCTGCAACTGATTCTTTTCAGCTAAATCTCGCTGTAACTTTCGATTTTCCGGTGTATCTTTAAGGATAAAGTCTTCATTGACTCGTCTATCCCAACTTGAGTTCCAGCCTTGGAAATGAACAAGATATTCAAAGCATTTCTTTCCTTTTTTAAGGATTTCATGGACTTCTCGTATTTTTGCGTCGTAGAGGACTCTTTCAAGCTTAGAATCAGGTTCATAGCATAGGATTTTCTCATTTATTTGGAAACATCTCTCATCCTTACGTTTCTTTCTTGGACTTTCATCCTGTGATGTATTCTTCCTTCTTAGTCTTTCCATTTTCTTGAAAATTATCAGATTTGTTTGTTTACGTTTTATGAAAATAAGAAGAAAAACAAAACTTTTCCGATTATTGATGGATTTTCATTGGTATTCGCTAAAATTGTAAGTAAACTTGATGTTTTTTGATTGATTTTAATTATTTTTGACTTACCTTGATGCTTTATGCTGTATTTACTGCTGTATTTCACAAAGATAAAATTAATGCGAATTTTTTGTTTATTTCTAAATCGTCGAATTTGAGGATCGACTGCTTTGATGAAAGTGTTTTTTTTTTGTATACTGAATTCTTATTGGAATTTTCTTCCCTATATTACTCAATGGATCTTCTAGTATTGCTTCATTTGTATAGTGTAATCGTAAACATTTACTTCTGCATCATTATGTTAACTCAAAGTAGCTTAAATCTAGTTTAATTAACCGAAAACAAATTACCAACATTTATCACACTTTAACGGTTTTTTGTAATTCAAATGAATTTTCCCGCAAAATTCAAAAAGTTTGTTTACTACAAAATTTCATATAAATTTCCAACATAAAATAAATAATTTAAATGGATAAGAGAAAGATGCAATCACCAAGACCAGCATGTAGATACGGCAAAGGATGCTTCCGACTAAATCCATATCATTTTGTCGAGTATTCACATCCACATTGTAAGTAAAAGTGATAAATTGTGAAATTAGAACAAATAAATTTATTAATTTACTTAATTCTCCAGTAGAAAAGATAATTGAAGCTGGAAAGAATCCTCAGACTGATGAATATGATATTCCTGAAGAGTTTTCATTGAGTCAAGACAAGATTGTTGAACAGCTGAAGATACTGGAAGTTAAAATGAAGGAACAAGATGTTCAAAAACCTTCAGCAAAGATTAGAAAGTGTGATGACGATAGCCATGAGACTAAGAAGGATATAAAGCCAGCTCCACCTATGTCACCAAAAGTTAATAGTACCCAACGCAACAAAATAGATATTAAGGATGAACCATCAACTTCACAGTCACCAAAGGCAATAAGCAGTCCCAGGGCTTCATTGTCGAATTTACAAAAGAAACAAGACACTAAAGATACTTTACAGAGCTTCTTCAAGGAACGAGCAGAGGTAAAATTTTAATTTGCAATTTTTCTGGATCTTAGTTCCTTTAATATTCAATTTATTCTTCTTTTCCACAGAATTTCAAGACTAAAGATCCAAAAGACATGCGAGCACCATCGCCAACAATAGATTTAACAGCACAAAGCTCTCAAAAGCCACAAGAAGTAAAGACACCAAATTATAATGATGCACAGCTGGATGCAGCAATGAAAAAGTATCTTCATGTAATAATGCCCAAAGGACAAATGGCAGAGAAGCTTAAGAATGCAGCACCTTATAACATTTTCTTGACAACAGTCACAGATTCTAAGCCAACTCATACAGATCCATTGTCTGTTACATTCCTTGAGCTTCTAGATCCTTCGTTAGGCGAATTGGAATCATCTGTGCAGTTTAATTTTATGGTAAGCTCAATTATTTCTGAAAACCCGTTATCTTATTTTTTGAATTAAAGTTCAAATTTTGAACTTTGTGAGCAGTTTAAATTTAAAATGTAAAAACCGTTGAAATTTAAATTTCCAATGACGGTTAAAATTTGAATCTCAACTGACAGTTAAAGTGTGATATCAAATGAGCATTAAAACTTAATTTATAATTTCTTCAAACACAGGTCGAGATTGGTTGGCTCTTAGCACAATATACATTCGCAAAATGCCGTCATCTACCACTTACAATATTTTATGGTTCCGATGAACCTGGAATAACTGAAATATCCAAGAAAATGCCCAACATTACAGCTATAAAGGTTAACATTCCCACTCCAATTGGGTGCCATCACACAAAAATGATGTTTCTCTTCTACAAAGACCAGTCAATGAGAATTGTCATATCAACAGCCAATTTATATGAAGAAGATTGGCATAATCGAGTTCAAGGTATGTGGATTAGCGATAGATTACCATCACTTCCCGAAGAACTATCACATGTTAATAATGGTGAAAGTGTAACACATTTTCGTGAAGATTTAATGCGATATTTAATGGCATATAATTTGCCGAAACTTCAACCGATAATTGCTCGTGTACGACGTACAGACTTTAGTGCTGTAAATGTATTTTTTGTTGGATCAACGCCAGGTACGCATCAAGAATCAGGTCAAGGTATAAGATTTGGTCATTTGAGAGTTCAACATTTATTATCAAAGCACAGCGCACCAATTGATCAAAATTGTCCAGTAATTGTACAAGCATCATCAATTGGAAGCTTAGGACCAACTCCATCAACTTATTTATTAGGAGAAATAGCAAATTCATTCTCAAAAGATTCAGCACCAATTGGAATTCGTAAGATTCCAAGTGTCAAGCTTATTTATCCATCATTAAACAATGTCCTTAATTCACATGATGAAATTATGGGCGGTGGATGCTTGCCTTACGATGGGAAGATCAATGAACGACAATTGTGGCTTAAAGACTATTTATATCAATGGAAATGCTCGTCTAGAGATAGGAATAAGGCAATGCCACATATTAAATGCTATTGTCGATATTCTGATCGTGGACTTTACTGGTTCCTGCTAACATCTGCAAATATCTCGAGATCTGCTTGGGGTAGCATTAATAAAAGTAGTAAATTGAATACAGCATTACGGATCAATTCATATGAAGCTGGTGTACTGTTCTGTCCAAGAATAATCCTCAATAAGGATCGATTTCCAATGAATGAAAGTCAACAGAAAGATGACACACCGATCTTTAAACTTCCATATGACTTACCACCCGTAAAATATGGCAGTGATGATGTTCCTTATTGCACCGATTACCTTAAATCCTATCTTATTAAACGCGGTATGCCTGTATAGTCTGTTGCTGCAAATTGTAATTGATGTTATTAATAAATTATGCATTTTTAAAAAACATGTTTAATAAATCATTTTTGTGTTGCTATAAATTGAGTGCTGTCTATCTTGATGATAATAAATTTCATGCTGTTGCAACAATGTCTCTAATCAGAGATCGTGTTCACAAACAGTCTATTTGCTTTACAGGTACACAATCTCTTAATTGTATGTTATTTATAGGATTGGGATGTTGCTTTTGACTATGATTATGGATTATGATGCGGTTTGAGTGGCTGGATTTGATATGGATCATTAAGGACGTAATCAATATAAATGTATGGCATGATATGATATTTAAAGATATTGAGGATTAATTATGATTTTAACGGATTTTTATAATTTGAATTTTCACGGTTCAATTTTTGAACTTTTTGGGGTTGTGTCTTGGATATATTTGAGTTTTCAAAAACCGTTGAAAATTTTGATTCATAATTCTCAGTTAACTTTGCAAAATTATTAATGTCAGTAGTTCAGTGCGCGTTTAAGTGAAAATGTCTTAGTATTGTATTAAATTTGATGTTGAAATTTGGTTAAAATGTCAATAAAGGTGAGTAAATAAAGAATTCATTCAAAAATTGCCGGTTTTCAAGATTCAGAAGTAATTTTTTAAATGAATGCAATTTTAACTGTATTACAAAGCTTAGATCGAGTTCAATTCACTAGTTATACCTTAATTAAACCAATTTACATGTTAACTAAGTTGAAAACCTTCCAAAACCAATATTTATCCTTAAAAGATCCAGTATAGAAAATTATAATTTTAAAATTCATAAAAAACTTCAGTTTCAATCAGTATCAAATGCGCTCAAGATCCCAAGTCCATGCCAAACTATAAATTACCGATATCTCTTCAATTGCTATTTAAAATTGAATCGAAGAAAAGAAATTTACATACAAAACTACATGTTGAGTTTATGTCTTTTTGTTCTTACTTATTTTCTTTTATTCCATTTTCATCCTTTCAATCATGAAAACAGAACATAAATAATAATATAAAAATTGTCGACATTGGAAATGAAAAATTGCTGTTATTGATATCAAAAGACACCGTTAAATGGAATTGGAAAGAAGAAATCTTTAATGACTGATTTTTATTCATGTAGGCAGGTAGGTGGTCGTCGATATTAAAATTAATGCTATTGAAATATGCCCAGAGAGCTTTTATTTGCCGTGAAATCTCCTTGAGCCTCAATATTTTTGCATATTTTTCTTTTGAGAGGCTCTGCTAATGCCACAAAAATCTTAAAAAGGATTCTGTTTACATCGAAATATTACGATTCCATTATCAGCCCACAGACAGATTTTATTGCAACATTCTCGTGATGCTGCTTGAGCAAAAAATTTCATCACAACTGCCCTTGAGATGTGGAAACTTGGCAACGAAAAAAAAAATGTTTTTATTTTATTTGCGCACAGAGTTAAACTTATTCAATTACTCTCGGGATTTCATGAAACCTGTAGAATATTTATTTTCCTACTCGAGTTTTTCATGATGAATTTTCTGCCACTTTTCTGTATTACATCATTGAGCTTTTATAGTCGAACCTTTAAAAATGGAAATCAAATATTGGTTAATTATATCAGGACCGATTTCACACTCCTTTTAGAAAGTATCAAGTCACATTTAAAGAAATGCTATAGTATGGTTAGGGACAAGCTTCATCTAAGTCACTGAATGGCCTTCTTACCAAAAAAATCTCTCTTGAGCCTTTTCTGGTCAACATTTTTTCCACAATCCAAGTCCAGCTACTCTTCTGTTAAAAGATCATGTTAGCAAAATAGTCTTCATCTTAAAAAGCTTCAACTAAACGGTTTGAATACACAAAACACCACAAACCCAACTTGTCATTCGCAAAACTCAACTTTAATTTACTCTCTTCTTAATTGCACGATTAGTTGTTTTTAGATTTTCCTCTAATCAATTTGTGTGTCGATTAAAATTAAAATAAATCTCATTATTTATAAAATCAATAATATCCAGTAACAAGCACAAATATTATCGCAATGGAGAGGGTTTATAATTCAAACAGATTACAAACACTCCAAATTTATAGAAAATCCGATAAAATTCCATCGGAATCACGTTTTAAAAAGTTAGAAGAAGAGCTACGTGAAGTGCGAATAAGATTTCCAATGCCTGCCACCGTCAGACATCCCGAGAAAGCGGTGCAAGGTAAAATATTGGACATTATTGAAGGCCCCAAAATCAAAAGCATTGAACTGCAAAATAAATTGAGGAGAATTGAAAATCATCTCAGTATGTGTGTCAATGATTTTCGTGACATGATCGAGAGAGTCCGTGAACTTGATAGATTATTGCCAAAAAATCAACACAATTTGGTTGTATCAGAGCTTGAGGCGCAAGAAAATGTCGAGAAGGTGGTCAAGTTCGAAGAGATTAAAGAGAAAATTATGGATGAATACAGAAACGTTTGCATAAGATTTGAGGAAAGTGATGAAAAGTCGAAGAAGCTGATTAGGAAGTTGGAGACGAACTTAGGTGAAAGTGAAGCTAAAATTGAATGTCTTGAGTTTGAATTGAAGAAAATGAAGAAGCATATGGAGAAATAAAGTTGTTGTGATGAAAATTTTGCAAGATTTTGATTTAATAAGTCTGTGGGAAGTGTTTAGGTGTGGATTGGTAGCAAAGCAGAAGTGAAGTACGGATTAGAGTGCCAGCAATCGATTCGAGCAACCCTGGTTCGATTTAAGGAAAAGTGAAGTGAGATTAGGGTGCATTTGCATTAATATATTTAGGCAACTAGGTTTGTGCAAACAACTCTTGGCTAGATACATTGCATTAATATACTTTCATTCATGTGCTATGAATCAACCATTCATCGACTTGAAAATCATCAAAGTACTTATAAAGGCCATCTCAAACTATTTTTTCTGCTCTGAACGCTTCTTTATATTTATAATTGCTAAAGCTTTACCAACTGCCCACGATCCTTGATATATTCTAAGTAATCTGCCAAATCTACCTTGCATTCACTCTCACCCTAGCAGAAATTTACTAGTAATTTACTAGCAAATTTGTAAAAAAATTAAATGAATATAACCGTTGATTTCCATTTGTTTTTTTTTTGATTTTAAAAAATTAAAAGACTTAATTTAATTAAGTCGAACACTGATGAACGTTCATGACTCGCACGCAAACCCGAGGAAGATAAATAATTAATTGAAAGTCACATACAGATTTGGATCGACATTATAAAGGTGATTTCTGCGCGCTCTTGTAAAGTATATGGCAAATGCCAAATTTAGAACAAAATTTTTTATGACGCAAAAAATTCTTTTTATGATGCAAAAAATTCTTTTTATGACGCAAAAAATTTCTTATTTTGATGATTTTTCGTAGGGTTCGAACTTAAGCAGATTTGATCAAACATTTTACATGGTAATTTGCTATTAAATAGAAAGTGTAATTTATTAACAGTAAGTTGTTTTAATAATAACTAGTAAATTGCATAAAATTCTTTTTATGATGCAAAAAATTCTTTTTATGACGCAAAAAATTCTTTTTATGACGCAAAAAATTATTTCAATGATGCAAAAAATTCTTTTTATGACGCAAACAATTCTTTTTATGACGCAAAAAATTTCTTATTTTGATGATTTTTCGTAGGGTTCGAACTTAAGCAGATTTGATCAAACATTTTACATGGTAATTTGCTATTAAATAGAAAGTGTAATTTATTAACAGTAAGTTGTTTTAATAATAACTAGTAAATTGCAAGTTGTAGAATAGAAAGACTAGCAATTTGCTACTTAGTCTCGCTAGGGTCATATTTACCAAATATTACGTTATACCTCTATAAACATGCATAAACAACATATTCAATAACACTACACAAAATGTCATTCAAAAAATACTCAGAAAAATTGCTTATCACTGCCAACGAGGTATAAGACACCATTCATCATAAAAGTGCGTGTATTTTCATCATAAACAGCTTTGCGTTCAAAATAACCCAAAGCTCTTTTCCTCCTGGCATAAACAATTCCTAGAAAATAGCTTTTTCCTATGTAATTTAATGGCGCAGAATTTAAGCCTTAAAACTGCTTTTTGAGGCTTTTCTATTGAAATTCATATTCATGGAACAACATTTTAATAATCCAATCAGTTAACAGGTCAGAATATTTTGTAGAGCTTCCTTTTATTTCAACTGTAATTACACTAGTTATGAATATTTAATATGGAATATGTCACATGAATATTAAAATTTCAGCTTTTCATTAAATTGTTGTTTGAATAGTAGCATTACTAGTGATTGAGCTAGATAAAGGAAATGTCAGCAGGTCAGTTTAATTCTCCAATAAAATAAATGCTGTTAAAACTTTTGTTTGTCATTGTTTGTTGGGCATTTTGAATATGTTTCCTGAGTAGAGCTTTTGTGATATCTGGAGAGCTGAATTTATCTGGAATGAATAAACTGTTGAGAGTCGTTCGATCGTTACGTGACGTTCTGAGAGAAAGAATGGGAGGGGGAAGGGGTCCTGAATATCCAGTTACTTAGTGATATCTTGACAGATTATTTTTTTAAACATATTATTTATATTTTCAAATATAAACTACAATTTCTTTAATTTTTCAATTGAACATGCATTAGTCAGTTGTTAGGCTCAGTCAAGTACCTGAAATACAAATCTAGATACAAGATCATTAAAAGAAATAAATCAAATCACCTTTGGGGATGTTCATAAATGACGTCAATCAAAAAACCATATTTTAAGACTCCCTGGAAAAATTTACATGAAGGAAATATTCTTTTGTTTGATCCGTCAAAAAACTTCAAACCCCTCTCGCCTATAAATGTTAAACGTCATTTATGAACAGCCCCTTTCAGATAAAAATTTATAAAACAATTTTCATAAATTTTTCTATCCACTCGAAGAAGCTCCTCACAATAAATAAATTGCTTGGTAACGTAAAATTTTTCATTTTTATGGTTCATCGTAGCTCATTGACCTGTAAAAAAAGGCATTTTACCCTCAAGGTTGAAGTGAAT